AAAAAATTAATAAAATTATTGGATATTTATATTTTTATAAACATGAAATTTATTAATAATAAAATAAAATCTTATTTCATATTGAATACATATTTCTTAATAAACTTGTATATTCTTAATAAATAAATCTTATATAAACAAATATAAATTAATTTTGTAACATATTTATAATGGAAATCTTAGATTATATTGGATTATCGCTATCATATATGCTTGAAAATGTTCTTCAAGATGATTTTCCGAAAATGATTCTGCAATAAATTTCGTAATTTCTTCAATTGAAAGATGTGAGTTAGGATTAAATGTTTTCACATAATATTTTCTTAAAAATTCAACCTTGTTTTCTTGTTTATTATCACATATAGATTCTACTATCTTTTTCCCAACTTTATTTAATCTTTGGTGAAACACTTTCAAAATTTCAATAATTGCTTTTTCATCTAGTTGAAATCCAAGATTTATGTATGATTTTAAATCTTTTGTTATTTCTTGAATCGATAGTTCGGGTCTTGATCCTTGAGGCGGAAATAACATTATTATCACCGCTTGAAACATTAAACTATTCACATCTTCAACTACATTATAACTAATCGATTTCCATAAATTTACAAGATCATTATATAATATAATAGCACGGGTAATAACATTTAATTGACGAATGTTTTCATAACCATCTCGTGATGGGTATTCTTCTATAATAAAAGTTTCACGAGGTCTCGAAGGAAATGGTACAAATTTTTTAACCAAGATTAAATCTTGTATTTTTTTTAGATTCTTTTTGATTTGTTCTCTAGCACTTTCGATTATTAATAGACCACAAGATAAAAAATAAAAAAGTTCCATATCGTTTGATTTCAAAAATAATTCATCCTTGTAAATTTTTTCAGCTTCTAGTAAAAAGAAAGTAAAAACTTCCATCTTTAGAGTGTTAGCCCATGGTTTTTTAATTTTAATATTATTTCTATGAATTGTTGAATTTAGATTATGTGATATTTTTAATTCTATCAAACACATATCATATTCACCAAAAGCCAATATGAGTCTTTGTATGAAATAATGAGATAGGTTCGCTCCTTGATTCAGTAAACAATGTGCTACTTCAAGAGTTAAAAAATAAGGACCCAATCTAATAGCATGAAAAGGGGCCTGTGCTTTACCAAAATTGTAAAGTAACCATGTAGCTTTCATAGTGGGGTCAGTTATGATATTATAAAAAAAATGGCAAACTAACAAAAGATTTAATAGACATCTGATGTTTCTTACAATAATAAAAAAAATCTTAGTTGGTAAGTCTAAGACTAACATGATAATTATTCAATTTGAATTATGATAAAAAAATTAAAACTTTTATATTCATCTATCGGAGTTTACGGAGTTGTTTATTTAAAAATAATTATTAATACATATGTAAAATTTATAAAAGAAACTAATTAATGATTCTTAATAATATCAAAAACTTCCTTAATATTTGGTCTGTTATCTAGTAATTGATTTCAACATCTAACATAAATATCCGTATACCATTCGGGTGTGTCCTTAACTGGAGCTTCTCTTTTTCTGTTAAAAATATGTATTGCGATCGCATCTTCAATTTCAAAATTTTTAAATGGTATTTCACCACTTGAAATTTCCCAAAAGACAACACCCAACGAATAAATATCTGATTTTTTTGATAATTCGTACTCAGGGTTGATGATGTATTGGGGATCGATATACGAAGGTTTCCTCAGACCATTAACTGGTCTAGTTTTTTCATTCTCAAACTTGCTAAATCCAAAATTGAAAAGCTTGGCGGTATGTTGTGAAATTAAAATATTCTTAGACCATATATCTTTATGAATTACATCGTGATTATGTAAAAAATGTAGACCACAAGTAATATCTTTACAAAGTTTAAGCTTTTCATTCCATGTTAAGCAATCAAATTTATCTTTTAGATATTCTCTTAGATTTCCCTGATCCGCATATTCAAAAACTAAATTAAGAGGGTTGTCAGAACAATATCCATAAAAGGTAATGATGTTTAGATGTGGGATCTTTAATTTTGAGATAATATTAAATTCATTTTGAAATTTGTTATTATTTTTTAAAATTTTTTTGATAACCACATCTAAATCTAACGATGTCCATTTCGTTTTAACAATCTCCACATTGATATTTTTATAAATTAATTCTTTATCAGAAAAATCATTCAGATCGATTTGATTGAGGCTGGACATTTTTATATTGTGAAAGATTTAATGTTTAAGGTTTTATTTTGATTTGTTTATTAATTTATTAGAACATCATTATTAATTATAAAAATATTTAAATACAAAATACACATGTAGATATTAAACATAATATAATATCATCTGAAAAAAACTTTGAAGATATTGTAAAAAAAGTTATAGATCTTTTCAGAGATGACCAATTAGAATCCACTTATTTGTTAGCAAAAGAAAATATCAAAAAAATTCCGTCAAATCACATATTTTATGATAGTATCATTTTTTATTTCTCTTTAACTATTTTAAAATTGAAGAAAGATGAAGAAATCGCTAAAGTCTATGAATATAAAGATTATTTTGAAATGTCATCAAAAAACAAAGAAAAAAAGAAATATTACTAACAGATTTTTTTGTGAACTTTTTGATGAAATTTCACATTATAAATCAGAAAGAAGATTAGAAAGTCTTATATTTGATACCGAATATGCATTTGATGAAGAAGAAAAACAAGATACTAAAATATTAGCTAACGAAATTGAAAATGAACTATCAGAAAAATTATTTTCATCTATTGAACAAATCTAAAGTGTAATTAATGATCATCATGCTTATAATAAAGGAAATAAGAGTATCAAAAAATATGAAATTGAAATAATTAACTAAAATGGTTGAAATTATAACCCCTACAGATTCTACCATATCTGATAAAATATGTAGATACATCCCATATAACGAATTATCATTATGATAATCTGTATGAAACATCACAACCCCTAATAAATTAACAAAAAATTCTCCTAAACATGTTATTAATAATTTATTTTTATTTATCTCTGGTGTGTTGAATAGTCATTTGTAAGCTTCATTTAAGATTGTAAATAATATTATCAATAATAAAATAGCGCTAATAATATTTGAATTTCTTTCTATTGTTTTTATTGATTTTTTGTTTGTGATAAATATATTTTTAAATACAAATATCATTATCGTGATCAAAATACCTAAGCAGTCTGTCATCATATGTATCGAATCACTGATTAATGCCAAACTATTTGATTTTATCCCAATCACCATTTGAAAAATTGTATAGGATAATGTCACAAGTAAAAATAAAGAAATTTTTAACAACATCGTCTAAATTAATTTAAAAGAAACCATAATATTTGTATTTAAACAAATTAAAACTTAGTAATTAAAAATAATATTTAATCTCATTATTCATTTTATTCATGCAATTATAAAAAATGGAAAACCAAAAAATTCATGAAATCGCATCACGTTTACTTAATAATCAATTAAACAACACTTTATATCGAACAAAAAGAACACCTAATTCATATATTGTTTTCAGAACATTATATTATGAAGAGCAAATGAAAAATTTTCAATACGGAAAATGTGATAAAACCTCGAAAATTTGGAATAAAATGTCGGATAAAGAAAAAGAATTCTATCATTATATAGCTAAAGAAATGAAAAGAATATTTGAAACCTAAAAACAAAATTTAAAAAAATAATTTATTTATTTCATAATTTGTTTATTTGTAATATATATATATTTAATCGTAACGATTAACAAAATAAAAATATTTATTTTCATAGTCATATGCACAAAGTTGGAAGGCAAAATTTATCATTTCATTTAGGGAAATTGTAACAATTTCTTCTAGTTCACTAGATATCTTTTCTTTTTTATTTACATAATTTGGATTTTTTAATTGGTTTAAATAATCTGTTATATCCTCAAACCATTTGACTTTCATTTTTCCATCTATTTGCGATAAACCTTGAAATAAATTCTTGTTTTGCAGTATATTTTTCTTTAAGCATATCAGAAATTTCAGTTCTATACAACATAAACGAATTTGGTGCCTGTGAACGTTTATTTAAATATTTTTTATCATATTTTGCTAATATTTTTTTCTTGGATAATTCAAAATCAATATGAAGAGAATTAATATAATTTTGTATCTCATCATATTGAGATAATATAATATTATTTTCCATTGGTGTTTGATGATAACATTTAAATTTTAATATCTTTTATTGAATAGGAATTAATAATACAAAATTAATTTTTTAATAAACTTGTTCTTGTGTTAATTTGTTATAATTTCATCATAATCATTCTCTAAAAAAATATTAGTAAGTATATTTTAATAAAATAATTAAAAAAAAATAAATAAAATTAATCACCTTTATCATCATCATCACCATCACCATTTTGGTAATTACTTCGAGCCTTGATTTTTTCTTTTATTTCTCTGACATAATCTGATGTGTTTTGTATGAAAAAACAAATTTTTTGTGTGTTGAGATATTGTGAAATCAAAGATAAAGATAACCCAATCACAACACCAGTAGCCATATCAGAATTAAAATATCTCCATTCGTTATCTTTCTTCTCATCATTTTGATCAGCATAACATATGATCACGTTATTTGTAAAAATCAATTGTATTATAAATAAAATGATGATTGATAATTTGCAAATATTTATTTTTTCTTGTTCTTTTCACCAAGAAATAACAAATAGCTTTTATAGGAAATCTTGATTTGGATAAATATGATGTCCAATACGGGACATGGTTATCAAAAAGAACAGATTCTAATAAAAAATCTTATAATGATATTAGACATGTTATCATAAACGGAAGATCATTCTTTGAAATAAAAACAAATTTGGAGAATATCACATTTCTATTCGATATCGAGATATACAATAAATATTCAACATACACATAGACCGCTAAAAAGCTTAATAACTATTACAACCTAGCAGTTTCCATCAAAAATAAAAATGGAACTATACATCAAAAATTATACAAAAGAATTCTAGAAGAAAAAGTGTTTGATAAAAATTTTGGCACACAGAGCATTGCAAAAAAATCATTAAATTTGCAAAAAAAATAAACATATATTTTCATTTTACTCATTTTCATTTTAATTTTAATTTAAAATTGAAATAAAAAAACTTGTAAAACCCTGTTAAAAAAATTAAAAAAAAAATAATTTCTAAATTTAACTTTCAAAAAATATTCAAGATAACAAATTTCATTTCAATCATGAACCTTTTTTCGTTTAATTAACGAGTTTTTTGCAACAATTATTTAGATTTTGTGAAAAAAAAATATTTCTTTAAAAAAAAATTTATAGAATTTTAAATTTTCAATCATTTTCCCGTTAAATTTAAACTTTTTGAAAATTAATTGAACAAAAAATATAAAAAAAAATATTTGTAAATATTGAATTAACGAAAAATTAACAAGAGTTTTTGCAAATATTTTTAGTTTGCGTATATTTTAATTAGATTTCTATATTCGTTTAACGAAAAATTTTAATTTTTTCAGAAATTTCTTTTGCAAATCAAATTTATTTTTTAATTTTATTTT